ATCAAATCACAAGTAGATCAAGAACCATAATTTCACAGGTATTTTTCAACTGAACCACTCAAGAAAATATGCAATAGATTATCAATAACTATAATTTTATTGTTGAAACAAAACACTAGAGTTTTTAAATCAAGAACAATGAAATATCAAGATTAAAAATCTATATTTCTTGAAAACTAGGGTTTTGGTCACAAGAACAAGAATCTTTATGGCTATCAAAAATAACTGTATCCAAGACATGATATGATTTTCAAGAACATCAAGAAGCAAGGATTTTATAACATATAAATAAACCCTAGCATTAATGAACAAGATTAGGAAGAAACCCCAACTTTGATTCCGTAGTTTTGTGTGAAAAACTAGAGGGTTTGATCCATTTTAATGTGAAAATCTCTCATTAATCTCGTGTTTCTCCCCTTCTTTGTTGCTCTCCAAGGCTCTCTAGGGTTGGAATTGATGAAATGAAGCTAAGGGAGGTGTCTTTAGGTATTTATAATATGAGAAATAGTCCACTCGTCACGAATCTGATACTTAGGATCGTAACCTCACGTTCGAACATCATAGTGGCGTTTGAACGTTAGTTGCTTCCAGTACTTTTATTTTTTCATCAGAGTTTTGTCAGCCACAAAAGTACTGAGACGAACTGTCGTTCGAATAGATCTTCACGTTCGAATGGACTCCCATTTTTTAGTTGAACTTCTAATGAAGTTTTGGCCTATTTAGAGGTCGATTTGAAAAATTTTTGTGAAATACTCTTTTGTAGCCCTAAAAGGCTAGTGTTTACTATAGAAATTTTAGATCAAACGGACATCAGGATAAAAAAGTTATGGTCCAAATACTAAGACAGTGTCAAAATCCTTCATATCCAAATTCTATCTAAAATGTGTTTTAACTCTGAAATACTTCATAACTTATACTACATACCCTATTACCTTACCTAACATTTTTATTTCTACTATTACAATCTACATAGTTCATGCGTACATCATTACATACATTAGCATTTCAAAATAATTGCGTTATTATATAAATATAAGAATGTGGGGGTTTACAAGCGTGGCACACTATGATATTGGTATTGATACGTGATAGTACCAGTGTTGATTATAACTCTATTTTGATACACTATGGTATCAGTATAGGTTGATAAACCTACTTTTGATTCTGAAATATTTTGGATTATATGTATACATGCGTAAAAGATGTTTTAAATCTCAATCACTAAAATTTGTGCTTATTTTCAAACCTTGTTAGTTGTAATACTAGATTAATCTACTAAATTGGTTGACGCTCACCCTACATTATTTATGTCTTTTATAATGTTTCGAAGGCGGGGTTAACGGGTGTAGTCATTTGACCTAGAGTTTTGAATGTTTTTACTTGAGTAATATCATGTTACTCATAAGAATTGTAGTTGTTGGAAATGAAGTATAGTTTTATACTTTTGTAACTCAAGGGGGGGAAGTGTGGGGAGAAATGACAAGAAGATATTGGAACATCAATTTGGAAGAGATGATGGAGGCAAGAGTTCATTTTGGCCATGGTACTAGGAAATGGAATCCTAAAATGACACCTTATATCTCTGCAAAGAAATAAAGAATGGGTACAAGTAGTTTGACACATGCAAACGCTTATATACCCATACCACTGAGTTGAGTCGAGATGTTCATAGTTTAGGGTGAGAATTATCCAGTAACATGTTTGAGAGATCTGGGGTGTTACAATAGTGTTCTGGGGAGAGTTGGGGAGTTATAATTTTATTGTCTAATTTCATTGTTTAAGTGATCGATTGGTAGTGAAGTTCTAAAATTGGATTAAAAAAAATACTAAACTCACAGTTTAAAATCATAAAATTTAACAATGAAATGGATGTCACTATCCAAATTTACTATCCATGGCCAGTGCCATTCACTTGTATAAAAAAAAACTTGCAGAAAGAATGGGAATGAAAAAAAAAAAGGGATTTCATTGTCTGTGTTCAAGTGGGCAAGATAGTGGCAAAATAGTGGGTCTTTGATAATTTAGAGATCTCAGGTTCAATTCCTTCTCACACCTCCTAGAGGCGGTTGACCCTTGTTCTTCAGGGACATGCTCTAACCCAACTCAAATCACAGTAACATCCGTTGAGCTTAAGGAATTATTCATTGGAGAGGAAAGATCTTTTGTTGAATTCTTTTATAATTTTTATGAAAATAGATTTAAAATTGACACAAAATATTGATGAAAAAGATGAGCAAAGATAAAGAAGAAGATAGACAAAGGAGAGGAATGTTGAAGAGAGTATTTTTTTTTTTTTACGAAAACAGAGGTAAAACATCACAAAAATGGTGATCAAATAGATGCTGAGGAGAAAGAAAGAGGCAGCAGAAAGGAGAGATAGGCAGAAGAGACAGAATAGGGGATATGTGTAACTATTGAATACAACGATGATATCATGTCAATAATGTTGATGTGGTATCACTAACCAACAATAAAACACTAAGTAGATCAGATGAACTTCACTTGGATAGTTACTAGCTTTCATGGAGGAATAGAGGGCAGTTATTTGCTTACATAGAGGGTTGATTATTAATTTTAGTGGGACAAATTTTTTTATTTGTTTTGATATTATTAGTTGGTAATACCATGTCAGCATTATCACATGATATCACCATTATAATGAATATTTTTTGAGGGGATAGAGAGAGAGGTGGATAAGATAGAAGTGATAGTAAACATAAGCACATTTTTGTTAATAAGAACAATAAAAATGGAGTTATGTTTGAACTTTTTGACCAAAAGTTTCAAAATTATAATGGCCTAATGTTATCCCCTTAAGTTGTTCACTCGGCATTGGCATGTGGCTGCCTTGCCCAAAGGTGTCCATGCCTTAGCCAAATAGGGTTGTGCTTTGGTGAAGCAAACCCTTGGTACAAAGTTGGATTCCTAATGATTTGGACGTGTACATAGTTGGGTTACAAAGTGGTTCCACAAAGGTTCAAGTGGCATGCAACAACTATGCCCCTTGCTCAAGTTATTATGACTCTTCGGCTCTGAGTATGTATGTTACTGCCAATAGAAATTTGCTCACTAACGTTATTATAAGGGGGTGCTCCGCGAAGGGGAGTTAGACTAGCCTCCTTAGGGACCCCTATGCCCCTAAGTCTTAGCACACCAAAGGAAGGCATGACCCCAACAAATGCTTGTCATGGGTAAAGGCAAGGTATTCTAAAGTTTGAGATTCGAGGTATGGGACTAATGATCGGTGGAATCCTTCGCTAGCGGAAGCCCCATGCATGGGTGAGGAAGATAGTGCATGCATGAGCACGTTGGGCACAACCAATGGGTTGATTGAAGCCCCATGCATGGCTGAAGAAGGCAACTCATGCATGGGCATATTGGGCACAAGCAAGCAAGGCTAGCCGATGGACTCGAATTGTGGAACATTTCTAGCTTAGAAGACCAAGTCATTGGATGAGTATGACTTGACACGAAGGCAAGATAAATCAGGTACTGTGGGCTTATAAGGAAGGTATGTACACAATATGTGAGATGGTTTCGAACAATTGAGGCATATGCATTACAGATGGTGGTGATTCCAGACGGTTGTTGCCATGTGCATAGCATATTGAGCGATTCTGTGCAATTGTTGGCATGTGCACAACATGAGGGAAGTTACTAACATGTGCACACAACATGCAGAGTGGTTATGCACAGTTGCTAGCTGGGTCACCTAATAGTTGCAATTGGCCCTACCATGATTAGCACATTGTGGAAGTAGTAGAAGGATTCAACCATGATCAACAGGTCTTGGTGGCAAATCTAATTAGTGCTTGCATTGCTTAGGTGATTGGGCTTGTAACCATCACTTTGCATGTTATTTATATGCATGCTAAGGTCTGCAGTGCAACCAAGAGAGTTTAGACACATTTTGTAACTAGACTTTTAGCCGGTTTTCTTTAGACTTGCTAAAAAGTAAAAAATTTGGCCATTCCTGTAATGCTTGTGTGTCTGGTATGAGTTTGTGTACTTGTCCATCTTCTGTGTTTTTATGAGTAATTGTGTGTATTGGTTGAGACTTAGTGTTGGATCTTACTGTCATCACGAGACAAAAAATTCTAGTGAAATCTGACCCGTGCCACCTAGAGTTATCAGAATTTTAAATGGTGATTTTTCGGGTGAATCAACAAATTGAGTTGAGAGGCCTTCTTCCACTTTGTCAATTGGGCTTTAGCATTAGTAGTCCAATTTGAGAGAGAGTGTGTGTGTGTCCATCCTCCACTCAAAAAAAAGCAGCGTTTGACCGACGTAGATCTCGACAAATCCAGTCCAAAAACAAAAGTTGTCTGACAGTTGTACCATTGCGATTTCTTCTGGATATTCGGATTCTAAAGCAATTCCTTTTGTCCGTCCAGCTGAAGCTGATTGATTCCAAGCACCTGGATCGGATCTTCATGGGCTCCATCTCTTTCCTTTTTGCTACCACTCAGTCAGTCAGACATTCCTACCCAAAATCTTACCCAAAATCATCTACATTTAGTCCAAGTAAACAACACTACTACCCAACAAATACCAAACTTGCTAGAGTTTCCCAAGTTTCTTCTTCTCTCTTTAATTTATCTTTTGCCTTCTTTTACTTTCTTCTACTCCCACTCCCACAATTTGCATGACAAAAATATGTAATTGGCTTGGCAGCAGAATTGTCTATGGGGAAAAGAATATTAGAATTGTCTGCAGGTTTTCTCTTCAAACAAGCAACAAATAAATGTTTTTGGTATATTTGGAAAAAAAAAGAAGCTAATGTTGGAATGGGATGGACCACCCGTCAAAACCAATCATTTCGGATGCTTGAGACTCACTCACACACACTGACACTGCTTTGGGCAGAGGGCAAGGGAACCTTGAAGCTTGAGCTCACAAGTTATAAGCTCTTGTCTCGATATAACCGTTTTTCATGTTTACTTATTTGATTTCTTCTTGTTTCCCTTTGGAAAAAAGAAAAGCAAAACAAATTAAAGCAGATGAGTTCACCTACACCTAGTTTTAGCAGCAGACCTCCTGCCCAATATCCACTTTTAATTCAATCCTCTCTTATGTTTTGTCCTCTGGCCCTGGCCTATTTATATAATCAGTCACTCCCAATCCGTTTATCCATATTCCTTCCCTCCTTCCCATTCTTCAAATCCATTTTCCCTTGTTCCTCTAATCTGTTACTCATCAAGTTCATCATACCCTCATGGAGGTATATATATTGCTATTCTTATTATTTTTTTTTCCTTCTTCTTCCAATGACCTGTAATGTGTTCTTCACGTGTTCTTTCTTATTTAGTTCCATGTATTGTGCCAGTTTTCCGGTAGTCATTTAGGAACTAACCATTCTGATAAATTAGGGAATCATCTTGGCTGAGAGCAGTTTCGGGCCATACTCTTTTTCGTAGAAGGCAAATAGAGATTCATAGGGAAATAAGCAAGTCCTTAATTATAGAATGAATTCTTCTAAGGACTTGTGTTCACTACAGGGTGATGACTGATCATTACCATTCTGTTGTGAATAAGAAGCTAAAGTCTTCAATTATACATGTCATCTGCAGTTCAAAAACCCAAATACTGTTCACTAGCTCTCCTTGAAATGTTGTTTTGTTTTTCTTTGCAGACTGTTGAATTAAAGGTGGAGATGGTTGGCATACATGAGAAAAGACTGCGGAAATGCCTGTCCAAATTGAAAGGTGTTTAGCTCTCTCTCTGTTTAAGTTGCTGTTATGAACAGTTATCACAGATTTTGCATTGCATATGAAAGGCACAGAACTTATGGTTCTCAGCTGAAGTGCTTTTAAACAAAATGCAAGCATTGATTGGACAATGGACTGTAATACTGAGAAAGAATTTGTGTACATCAATATTCTTGGTCTGGTTATTTATATGCAGGCATAGAGAAAGTAGAGGTGGATGGGAATAGTCAGAAGGTGGTTGTGACAGGGTATGCACATCGGAACAAGATACTTAAAGCTGTGAGGAGAGGTGGTTTGAAAGCTGACTTCTGGTCTGCCCAAAATGAGCTCCTTAGTGCATATGCCAGTGCCAGCTACGGAAGCTTGGCATTTAACAACAACAACTTTGGCTTCTTCTAAGAACCCAAAATCATATGGTTGTGTGTTTTCATACATGATACTTCCTTCATTCTTTTGATTTTCTTTTTCCTTTTTTCTTTTGCAAAGGAACTCTCACATCTTCATTTATACGTAAAGTGAAATACAAGTGTCTTTAAGTTTTGAACCTTTGCCAAGAATTTGGTTGGCTGAGAGCATAAAATGAAGCAAACTGATTCCATCCAACAATCTTCTCTCTTTGCTAACCACCATATACGAGGTTCAGCCATAGTACCCCCATAATCATAAGGAGTGTGAATCCAACAGAAAAACCAAACACCTCATTTCACGGTAATTTGTCACGACTCTTTGTTGGAAAATTGTGGATCAAAATGGATGTAACATTTAAAGTGCGGATGATTGTGTACAAGCGTAGTAGTTGGAAGTATAAAGACAAAAATAAACAACTAAAAAGGCAACTGCGTCAATGAAAGTTTTGTTCATGTAAGTCAAATGTAATATGTTATTGATCGATTTTAAAATTGATTCTGAGATGCTGAAAGTAATCTCAATTATGTAGAATATAACTGCTTTAGTACTTTGATCCTAGCAAAAACGCCAAGAAAGATGATGGAAATCAGACCAGGCCCTACTCTACATTTCGGCTCTTTTCAGTATCAGGAAAATGATGATTGGACAGTGAAACAGCTGGCCTTTGTTCGACTAATTTCTGTTCTGATTCAAAAATGAGGCAAAGCAGAAATGAACAATACAAAACAGCCCAATTAACTCAAAACGGGGTTACTCAAGTATTTTCTTATTGGTCTCCAAAAGGCTAAAGGACTACCCAAAGAGATATGCTGGCCGGGACCTCTCCTGAAGGTTTTGAATCCAAGCTGATTGTCGGAGTCTTTTACATTACATAGCAACCCACACTTCCGCCGCAAGAGATAGGTGAGCGACCAAGTCCCAAGTCCTTTCACTCAAAATGAGATGATCTTTGGATCAACATGTCCAGATCAGTCACTTTAGCAAAGAGCTGATGTAGGAGGGTGGGTTTGATTATGAACCACCAAAATTTATACCATATATCAGATATATTCAGATTAACTGAAATAATGTAGCTGAGCCCAAAAGAGTAGGGACAAAGCTTTGTTGAGATGAGTATAATCAGACCGACTCCACCACTCCCTCAAAGCAACGTTCATCACAATACACTTATACGTGGGTCTGCTTCAAAAAGAGGGTAAAGCCAGCTCAAATGCTCATCCACTCCTTGAGGAAGCCAACTGACTGGTACTAGTGCTCATCCACTCCACCGAGAAAAGGAGCAATGGATGGTGGTTGGATGGGGAGACCAAAATTCCCTTCCTCTGAGAAAAAGGAGAAACCCATCAATTCACTGTATTGCTGCGTACTATTGGAGTTGGATTGCCAGTGGAAAGATAACATTGGCAATTGCTGCGGTTTTGTGGTTATCTCAACAGACACATTATGTTGAATATAGAACTACGGACATCCAAAACTGCAGAAGAGATAAAGGTTCGCCAATTTACCCAATATAATTAATTACCTCCTGATTGATTGTGAGGCCTTCAAAACAAAACAAACATATTAAGCATTGAAGAATGTCGTTTCAGGATCCACAAATGTAAACACAAAAAATACCACCTTTTGCCAGAATAAAATATGGAGCTTTTTTCATACTTTGAAGCCAGCTCTCAATATAAGCCAGTTTACAGAATTGCGATTAAATGGAACTGCAGCTACTGTTATACATGGGACTCAAATGACATTTAAATTACAATGTTGGACCAACCAACATACAGCACCAGGACTACATACACACCCAGAATGCTGGGACTTGACTATAAAAGAATCATATTTTGATTCTAACATGAATTTTTACAGAGTTTTATTCCTACATGGGTGCTAGAAACCGATTCCAGCATCCATCAATGCATGATTCTCCACCGGTCATCCAGAACACCGGTAGAATGCGAGGGTTTAAATACACAATAGTGAAGAAAAGAAAGTGCAATTCGCACCTTCCAAGTTCCTTTCTCGACCATCAGGTGCGACTCAAACATATGACTTATCTGGTGAGCATGATTATGTATGACCTGCATAATATAAACATCACAAATGCTTAAATTTCCAATAATGATTCTGGAAACCTCATCAAACACGAATAGTAAAACATATTTATTTGGGCTGGAGAAAACCAAACTAAGAACAACCAGATGTGTTGAACAGTCCCCACGTTTCTCTCACTGTGGGGGCAAAATTTTTTACACGTCTTTTCTGTCACATGGATTAGACAACATTATGCAGATGGCCATCTAGTATTTACTTTCCCCCTCAAGTCTAATTGTCTAACTTCCATCTTTTATCTCCAAAACTAACATCATGGGATTAGTGATCCCATGTTAAAGGTTGTGGGAGTACCAAAGGTTTTTTTTCCTTCACCATTGCCTTGATGACAAACTTTAAATCGCAGACTGCATATGCAATGGGCAAGAGAAGAATTGTGTACCTCTAGAATGCAAAAGAAATAATTTGCAAGGCTAGATCCGAAGCCCGCCACTCAAGTAGCAGTACCACTGCTCTTAGTCCTGCTGCAATCTAAGGGTACCTGAAAAAAAAAATAATAATAATCTCTTTTTGGAAAATCAGACTTGATGGCACAGCAATTAAACTCTCACATGTGACTTAGCATCACCAACCTTGATCAACCCCTCACCCAGCATTTTGGTCAGAACCACTGCCTTGCATGAACTGAGAACGAGCAGGAAGCATAAACGGTGGTTGTGCTAAAGCAGGTGCTGCCACACCTGATGATGCCACAAGCCAGATACCCTATTAGATAATTCACCTAACTTGAAACATAACATATAAAGGAGACTGTTCAACTCCATTTTATCCTTTGACACATATGTCTTTGTGCACTGAGGCAACAAAACAATTGAGCTAAAATGGAGGCAACAAATCCCCCAAAATTGCGTTTTCACAAAGTGAGTCATGCTCAACTAATATAAAGTTGAGTTAAATATACAGCCTATGGGCACATGGGCATATATGTTTCAAGACATCACTTAAGAAAGAAAAAATTTGCCTGCAAGATATGGTGCTTGAATAGTTGGTACAGATGAAGTTGTCATTGCATTGACACTGGGCCCACCAAACTGCATAATCTGATGACCAGGCACAGCATAGCCCTGCAACGTTGTGTAACCATGACTGCCGGGAACAGTCTGACCCAATTGGCTGTATGGATACATAGCCGTGTTAACTGTTCCCGGTACGCCATATATGTGAAGGTACTGCTGATTCACATAAGGGTTATAGACACCCTAACAGAAAATAACAGCAGAGAAGCATTGGAAGCTGGTTAGCATCTAAGATCTTATAACCTCTTTGCAGGGAGGATAAATATGATAAACTTGAACAAAAGCTGTCTTTATGGACAGGTTTTCACCTGTGGGTAGACATACTCTGGACCATATGCTGCATACCTGTAAGTACAGAAAGCAATCACATTCTCTGAGAAAATTGTCATCAATATGCACAATGGCCCATAGAGGAATGTATTGTAAGGCATGAAGAAAATTTACATATGAAACAAGTCTCATCAAACTGTTAGGACTCATATTCCCCTATTTATCCATAGATTAGGGCCCTCATAACCAGATGAGAAGCCATGCTGTGTCCAGTATGTGCACAGAAAACAAATTTAGGAGGCTAATGACCATAATACCCCTAATCATGAGACTTTTCCTAATTGCATTAGGAGCATATTCTGCGCAACTATCAGATTGTGCATTCCTGCAATTACCAATCACATCATGTCACGATAACCATACTTTGGAATCAAAACAGCCCTAAAAAATTGTGTGACTAACCATTTAAACGCTACAAAATACTCACAAGTCATCTAGAAAGTGGTGATTGATACATGCAAGATCGTGACTAAAATAGGGGAGATTTCACCAAGGGGAAGGAAAAGGGTAGTACATGCAATGTCCAGCATAACTCATCCTACTCTGTTGAGTTCACGGTAGACCCACTGAAGGGGAAAGAACAATTGAAGCATATCTTCATTGTAGGTGGATATAGAAGAATTGCTACTCTAAGGTACAGCAACTATATGTATTCCCCCACCGATATAGTACACAGACAAATTTATGTTGGCATGGTACACATTTAGTGTTCATGAATGCAAGTCCATCGTGAATACGCATATGTAGAAAACACATGTCAAGAATGAGGACTGGAAAACAAGAGAGACAAAGGAAAAGGAAAAGGAAAAGAACAGTAATATAAAGGCTGGGTTAAAGAAGTCAACAATAATCAAGTGATTAGAACCTTCATTTGCATGAGAGCTGCACTCATCCAAGCTATATGGAATGGCATCTCTACAACACATATACATTGATCTATCGCAGGAAACCCACCAAGAAGCAAGCTCTAAGCAAATATACCTCTAGTCACTTAACCTCTTATGAGAATAAAACTTGAAAAAAACACATTTAATAATGCATCTTTCACATCACAAGTTTGAACATTGTGAATCCAACGAATCTTCTAAAACCCCACATTCAAGTGATTACTACTCTGTAATTATTTCATTTGGGGACCACAACTCACCCATATGGAGGATACATATATCCTTGTTGATAGCTGAGAGAGGCTGCTTGTTGGTGACCAAAACTTCCAATATAAGCCCCTCGAGCAGCTGGCACAGCTCCAAGGTAAGGCGTTGGTGATCTAAGACGTCCTACAGCCAATAAAAACAAAAGAGAAAAAACATTAATCTATTGAGATCAATGGGAAGACAGACTAACAAGGTCCATACAAAGACCTAGAATATAGTTCATTGTTTACTGTTTCTCAGACATGAATGTAAAAAGTGCCTTACAAGTCCCAATTGCTGATTTTGTTTTCAGGAATTAATTACTCCTTTTAGCATGTTTTAACAATTGTGCCTTGTTTCATTGCTAGCCAAGTAGGGGGCTTTTTTGTTGCTTGGTTGGGGGGGG